TGGCCTCTGATTGTTTGTATCTTTTTATAAATTTTAGATTGAATTCTTCTCTTTAAGGTGGCTCATTGATGCTTTCAACTCTTGTGCATATTAAAGACAATAATGAGTTGAGAAATCATTGTGCCTTTTGTTTTTTCATTTCAACTATGAAGAGTTTTTTTCTGAAAGAATAAAAAAAAAAAATCAAAGCAATTAGAGAATCTTGATAGAGGGGATTAAAGTGGTCTCCCTTCTGAGTTTGCCATGAAGAATGGTCAATGTTGCTAGCTGTCAAAAACATTTTATTTTTTTAATCTTTACCCAATGAACAATGAACCACACCATTTCTACCCTCCCCAACACCACAGACATCACTCGTCTACCATCATTGCGGTCAACAGATTTTGGTTTCCTTTCTTATTTCACCCTCAGAACATAAGTCTGTTTCTGATTCTAACCAAAATAAACTTGCTGTTTAGCCGTGTGTTCTTTGTAGCTTGCAAGTGTTTGTTTCATACATATAAGGTCATCATAACCAGGGTTCCTAACAGTTAATAAGACCTAGTGGGTAGTGGTTAACTAGGCCTCAGACTTTGAATAAGGTACACTTTGGAGTTGGTCCTAACAACATGCTGCACAAGAAAACAAAATTCAAAGATGTCATGTTAATAGTCCTGACCTATATTTACTTACGCATGTAGGCTATTGGTGATGCGTCTTCCAAAATTATTCAAAATGGATGAATTTTCTTATTAAGGCAGATGTTGACAGTAATCTCTTGATTGCTAAAAAAAAAAAGGTAAATTTAGGAGAAAGATGTAGTGTGGGAAAAGGACAAAGGCAAGTTTGTATGGCACATTCATTGGTAATAAAATTGAAATTGCTGGACATGAAAAGATGGCAGAAAAAGTACTTTATAATTAGTAAATAAATAAATAGAATAAGACATGAAAAAGTTGCAAAATTCCTCCCATATTTTCTTTAAGATTATAATGCAGAATTTCCAAAAGTGCACCTTTTAAATTATACATAGAAATGGGTCTTAATTTATTTATTTTGTTTTGTTTTTTTTTACTCGGCCAAATCAACAGAACAGGGTTTTTTTTTTTGTATTTTAATTCCTTATAGTTAGGAATCTAAGCACTTTTTCCAATATAAAAGTTTAAAAGAAAGTTTTAGAAATCCTGATTAAAAAATATCTCAGAAGTGATTTTTTTTTACTGTTATTTTGGCATTCAGTCCTTGGATCACACTTGAACTGGACTTCTGTGGTTTTAGAACAGGGTCTGCTGTTTGCACTAAAACTGAATTAACTTTCCAGGAATTAAAATTGCATATCAAAATACACAAAGTGTTCAATTCTGGAAATGATCATCCTTCATGTTCCGGATTTAAGAGTTCATTAAACCTAGCTACATCTGGTCAACACGCTTTATATTCAATAAATGAGATAAGGTTAGTAAAATACACGGAGATCTCTTTGGACTGAAATATCCTTATTTTTTTAAGGGGCTCATGGGGTTTGATATTCCAGGGTTTAAGTGTTGTATCCCTCCAACAGGCTGAGTAGAAGGATGTGTGGCATTCAAAAGTTTTGTAAAATCAGTGGTATCTAAGCTGATACCTTGAAAACTTTCCAGTCACATTATGCTTTTTATTTTTAGATCCATCTGGCAGTTTGGCACATATACAGATAGAAGATGGTCGGTTCTTTGTAGATTAGCTCAAGCTGGCTTAATGAGGGGCTAAAACATTTGCCTAAGATATTCAGTTGGATATAGAAGTGAATTCATAGATGTCTTCTTTGAAACCCAGAGCCATACTAGAATATTTTCCTATTAGAATATAATTTTTAGAATTTTATTTTGGGGTATTGGGGTAAAGATGGTAAATAAAAATGCACACTACAGTTTTTAGATTATTTACCAAAGTTAGTAAAAGCAATGATGATCCTTCTAATTCAGCTATGCCATAAGGTCCTGTTAAATGCATGCTCTATTTTTGGTTTGTATCTCATCGTATACAGTTGGGCTTGAAAGTTTATGCATACAATTGAAGAAAATGATAGTCACAAAGGTAATTCAAAGAACACAAAACTGCATAAAAGTATTAAAATGAATTTTACTTTATAAACTTGATATCAAAAATAAAATATAGATTTTCTTTTATTGTTAACCTATTTCAAAAGACAAATTGTCCCTGAGAAATATGTTTCTGATGATCATTGGCCCAACATACCTGTTAACAGGTGCAGAAGTCTGACGGAACATTTCCTGAACATTACAGAAAAATACCTGATTTCAGTGATTCCCTCAAAATGTTGCTCAACAAAATTTTCGTTCAGGAGCTCCATCAGGATTGTTTACTTTTTCATTATTATATATGAACATGTGTGTTTGTATACATACAGACACAAAATATCATGATTTTCATTTTTTATTTAGTCATTTTTTAAGCTTACTGGCAGCTTATTTTTTTCTGTCTCTGTGTTTCAAGCACAACTCTATGTAGGTTTATGGGGTGTTTTTCAGGGAGCTTATACTGTATAGAAAACTGTAAGGAAGTTTGGAACTGGAGAGATCAATTCCTACAGCAGAATGTTTTCCATACTGTATTCATTCTCAAAGGGATCATCATTGTTACAATAGGAGCAAAATGACTCCATAAATAAATCTTAAAGATGAAAAGTCCCGTTATTCATTTTTAAAAAGCTATTAGGGGCCAATTAGTTTTTAAAATCTTAATTGCAATTAAAGAATAAACAAGTACAACAGCAAAATACAATTAACAAATATGCTACTATAAATAAGTATTCAGGAGAAAAATAAAATGATAAACGTGCTTAGGAGTGTCGGATATGTGTGTGTATGTATGTATATATATATATATATATATATATATATTATTCTAAACATATCATCTACCACAAGAAGTTGTGGTTTTTTCGATTTTTGGTGAGTGGAGGATCGAATAATACAAAAATATTGCTTAAATTCAATTAAGTAAGTCTGACTTTTTCTTCAACCAAAGACATTATTTGTATCTTGAAAAATAACTGGCTGATGACATCACTCAACTTCAGCAGGTCATGTGTCTGAGCCCTCAGGTGACATGAAGATAAGCTCTACATTAAAGGAATAGTACACCCA